GATACTTTCCAGTGCTGCTCATCAACATGTCTGGTGTTCAGCAGTGTTAAGTGTTAGGTTTAAGTTGGTCAGTGATATTATGGAAAATTCTGTGCATTATTGTCAGATCAAAATTCAAATATATAATTTTAATTCATTTTCCTTTGTATTGTATTTGTTTTGAAAGCAAATCTGCTACCTAGAAATCATAAAGCTTAGAATATCAGTTCTTTCAGTGTTGAGCTTCCTTCATATTGCAGCAGGTTTAATGACTCAAATGCTACTCTAAGCTTTTTATTGAAAGTTACTTTTGAATGGCCCAAACCAGCAACTCCTAAACAGTAATTAAATTCTCTATTTATTGAAGATTATTTAGAAGATTCTCATCACCTCTGCCAAGGAAATTGTATCTAGACATTTCTGTTTGAGAATATGAAACAAAAGGAAGAATATGCATAGATTTTTAAGTACTGCATTGGATCTCAAAGTACTGCATTAAGTTGTGGTATGAGAAAGTACTGGGGGAATAGTTTGCTCTGTTGCTCATTGTAGTTCTATTTCAAATTGTTTGTGATGCAGCTGAGAAAAATGCAGACCCTTAAAAAGGAACACGGACGTGCTGACAAAAGTAGCAATGTGGACAAAATCATGGTACTTAAGTCTACTTTAGCAGAAGTGTCTGAAGAATTGTCTACAACTGAAGAGATACTACTCACTGAAGCAAGTAGTGGAAAAAGCAAACCTTCAGCTTGCCGGAGAAAGCGAGAATTCATTCCAGATGAAAAGAAAGATGCTATGTATTGGGAGAAAAGGCGGAAAAATAATGAAGCTGCTAAAAGATCTCGTGAAAAACGACGACTGAATGACCTTGTCTTAGAGAACAAATTAATTGCACTGGGAGAGGAGAATGTCACTTTGAAGGCAGAGCTGCTTTCTTTGAAGCTGAAGTTTGGTTTAATTACTTCTGCAGCCTATGCCCAAGAGATACAGAAACTCAGTAGCTCAACAACTGTGTATTTCCAAGATTATCAAAGTTCCAAATCAAATATTAACTCATTTGTGGATGTACATGAACCATCTATAGTTGGTAACAGTTGTATTTCTGTCATTATACATTCTTCTCAAAGCTCTATGTCTGATATGTCTGAAATATCATCAGTAGAGCATACTCAATCAAGTTGTATGCAAAACAACCACAGAAGTCCTGAAACTAAGTTCCAGTTTATAAAACAGGAGCCCATGCAATTAGAGAGAGTGACAAGGAATTACAGAAGTTTACAGAAAGCATCCATATATCCACATTACATGGGAACTACCTTTAACATGCATTCATATTCTCCTCCTCTGTTCCAAGTCAATAGGTCCTCCAGTGATTTTCCCAGATCTTCAGAAACTGATGACGGTGCAGTTGGAAAGTCATCTGATGGAGAAGATGAACAGCAGGTTCCTAAGGGTCCAATCCATTCCTCACTTGAACATAAAAATATTTGTGCAACAGTTAAAGTTCCAGAAGTGAGTTCTTCAGCTTTGCCTCACAAGCTTCGAATTAAAGCCAAAGCCATGCAAGTTAACATGGAAACAGTAGATAATGACTATGATGCTGCACAGAAACTATCATCACCTATTGATATGTCATCAAAAAGACATGTTAAGCTTGAAAAACACTCTACACAGAACTTGGTGCATTCTTCTCACACTCCTTTCTCAATTCAAGTGACTAATATCCAAGACTGGTCTCTCAGACCAGAACTGTGCCATCAAAAGGAACTCAATGTCAGAATTCAGAGTGGTTGCAAAACTGAAATTGTTGAAATAAAAGACAATATCTTTAATGTCTCCAAGTCAGAGAAACTGTATTTGAGGCAGGGCATAACAAACTTATCTGCAGAGGTTGCTTCCCTTAAAAGACTTATAACTACACAAGAAATCTCTGCATCAGACTCTGGTTAAGTTACTACTGAATAAAAGCTTATTGTTGTTTTTTAAAAACAATGCCATTTGCAGTAGATCAACATATTTTGTATTATGCTGACTTATCACTGTACTTGTGATGTCATTCCACTGTAACGTTCACACAATGTCTGGTGTCTTTTTGTGCATAAATTATTATGGAGACTTGGCTGTGTTATGACCATTATGCATTGTAAATAGTCGAGTAGCTGGTACAAAGCAGTACAAAGGCTAAATACAGTGAACTTCGTTTTCTTTTTCTTCTTCTAAAGCGTGCCTGTTACAATAAAATATTGGTGACAAACAAAACTACTCCAGTTCAATTGATTTTTATGAACTTGTAAATATGTTGCTAATTAAAACAAAGGCTTATTTCTTACACTGCGCTCAACTTCTATGCTTGGTTTTTAAAGCCAAACTTACTAATATTTTAAATTGGTTTTTTTTCCCTTAAGCCCTCTTTTTAGAAGAGATTTGAAATAAAGTAGATATTTATAAATGAAACAGTATCCAATTCATAGCCTTAGCTTTCTTAACTTACGCTAAAAAGTAAATTAACCAAAAGCCACACAAATTCTAACACAGTAATTTTAGTATCAAGGAACTTTTTTCTCCTGTCTCAAATGAAAGAGAGAGTATTTGGTTTCCTGAATGGCTTACAGAATCACAGAATATTAGGAGCTGGAAGGCACCTCGAAAGATCATCTAGTCCAACCCCTCTGCCAGAGCAGGATCACCTAGACTAGGTCACACAGGAACACGTTCCAAAGAAGGAGGCTCCACAACATCTCTGGGCAGCCTGTTCCAGGGCTCTGTCACCCTCACAAGGAAAAAGATTTTCCTTATGTTCACATGGAACTTCCTATGCTCCAGCTTGCTCCCATTGCCCCTTGTCCTATCATTTGACATCACAGAGAAGAGCCTGGCTCCGTCCTCCTGACACTTGCCCTTTACCAATTTATAAACATTAATGAGGTCACCCCTCAGTCTCCTCTTCTCCAAGCTAAAGAGACCCAGCTCCCTCAGCCGCTCCTCATAAGGGAGATGCTCCACTCCCTCAGTCATATTTGTGGCCCTGAGTTGGACTCTTTCAAGCAGTTTCCTGTCCTTCTTGAACTGAGGGGCCCAGAACTGGACACAATATTCCAGATGCAGTCTCACCAGGGCAGAGTAGAGGGGAAGGAGAACCTCTCTCGACCTCCTAACCACACCCCTTCTAATACACCCCAGGATGCCATCGGCCTTCTTGGCCATGAGGGCACATTGCTGGCTCATGGTCATCCTGCTGTCCACCAACACCCCCAGGTCCTTTTCTGCCTGGCAGCTTTCCATAACATACTTATCATAAACTTCTCTCAGTATTATAAGTCATGTGTTTTAGATTAAATTAGTTATGTTGGACTTGTGCATCTTCAAGTTTTAAGATCCTTGAAGTGACAGAATTGGACAATGTCATCTTTGCCAAGGGCTGTGCTTATGCCTGTACAGGCATGGAAAGAAGTATGGTCAAAGGCTACTGGATCTCTAAACTCCAGTCTTAACTTGACAAAATCTGTATAAGGACAGGCAATAGTAAGTAGCAGCGTTAGAGGAGAAAATCTGCTATTTCAGCTCCTACTGTAGGGCATAGCAGAATTGTAAATATGAAATAAGGTTTACAGCCAGTATGGCTTCATTTTTAATGGCTTAGTTAACTGAACTGGAATACCTGGTGTAAGAGTGAGAAAACTCATGGTTTGAGTTAAAAAACTGTTGCCTTCAGAGGCGTAGCGACCTGGTTCAGGAACGGCTCAGCGACCCCACCTTTGGGTCTGCGCGGACCATAAGCTCACAAACACCAATGTGGTGGACGGCAAATGGCGTTTATTGATAGGTGACAGGGCGTTTTATAGCCTGAGTTTACAACGTCACATCCGCCTGCTAACGTCGTAAATCAAACGCTATTGGCTATTAGGAGAGGGGCCCTATGCTTTCCGTACAGCGCGATATCTTCCGGCTTCCCTAACTGCCCACATCTCCCCCCTCCCTATGCACTATATTATAATGGTTAAATGCAATAATTTCTAAGGAATACATACACCATAGCTTTGGATAAAACATATGTCTATGCTATTGGGGAGTAATGGGTATAAAGCAAGCATTGGCAACTATATACAGTAAAAAA